CACCTTGTGACCATGTTTTCAATTAGGTGGTCAACCACCGCAGAATTAAGTAATCGCCATTCTTCTTGTAGAGCAGTTTCCAGCTCAATAAGAGTGGCTGGAGGTGGGAAACGTGAAGATACAGCACGGCCGAGAGCATCCTAAAGATTTTCAATGGGATTAAGGTCGGGCCAATATGCTGACCACGCCATACTCGCAATCCCTTCACTCTCCAGGTAGTCATCGACGATGTCAGGTCTATAAGGACGTTCGTTAGCGTCCATTAAAACAAAAGTAGGGTCAACTGCTAAGATGTGCATGTTGGTGCGGTATCCTATTGAAATCCCTGACCACACCACAATGCTTCCGCCTCGGAATGCGTGATGTTCGGTGATGTTTTGGGACTGATTGCGTGTTCGTCGATCACACCACATCCTTATACGCTTGTCATCTGGCTCCAGAGCAAATCTTGACTCATCAGTAAACATGACATTGCCCCAGTCAGGCACATTCCAATTGACATGTTCCCAGCACCACTGTAATCGTGCGCCTCTTGATTGGACGGATAGAGGAACACAAACTCAAGGTACCTGGGCGTACAGTCACTCCCACAGTAGCTGCAGATATCGCCTTACCAATGGACGCTGTAGCCATAGATGTCACACGCGTGGAGATCGCTCTGCGAATCCGCTTGGCTACAATAGCAATATATCGATCTTCCGCAGGTGTTGTAACCCTTGAGTGACCGACTACGGGCCTTCGGATAACTGTCTGTGTGATTTGGAATTGTTTCCATAAACGTGAAATTACAGAATGATGAACGCCGAAGAAAAGAGCAACATGTGTGATCGGCTATCCTGCTTCAATGCGCCCCACAGCACGTCAGCTGTCAGAATCTTCCATTCGTCTTCTAGAAGTCATAGAAACACCTACGTCTTAAAAACAATTTGTGCGAAAGTTTTAAACACCTTCTCTCAGCACTAACTATCAACTTCTGTAACCCTTCATAAAGCTGGCATGAAAGCGCGATTGGCTGTTAACTAACATTTTTGCATACTTCCATCTACCTCTGCAGCGAATGGCATCCTCTTCAATCCTGATTGGCTTCCGGAAATTAGCATTTTCCTCTCCGTGCTTAACTTTTGGAAGTGAGTGTATATTACTCTTTAGCTAATTTCAGCTTTTGACTGTAGACCCAACCTCGAAAACCTTTCCTCAGAATCATACGATGAACATCTCTAGTGAAATCGTTGTGTTCATGAGCAGTAACTTTCTTAATATGATATATATTCACTTCTAAAGTAGGAAGTTTGTTATACTGCACAAAAAACACGCCTTCGAAATCTATGTATAGTTTTCTACGAATTTTGTTCGCCCAGATTCTTATAGATAATAATCCCAATCTACATAGTGTAAGGAAAAAATAGTTTGTTTCACGTGAAAGTTCATAGTTTCAATGATCAGCTGAAGCCAAAAACATGCAGTTAACAGAACAGCATTCTGAACATGAGCTTCCGAATAATTATTTCTTACGAGTATTAATGGGCAACCCATACAAGTGCCTTACAGAGATTTAAATCAGTGACTAACCAATAAAATGTTTTTTTTTTTTTTTTTTAAATTCAGTATATAATTGTTGCTTGTCCGCTTGGCTGCGTCCGACACGATGGCTGATTTCTCGAAAAGGTAATCTGCAATTTCTGTATGCAACGATTTTGCTTCACTCGAACTCAGAACGTGCGCGAATGATGCTCATGTTTTTCTAATACACATAATGAAACTGCCCACACAACTCACGTTATTCAAAACGGCAATCTTTCCTGTCTTTATATACGGATTGTAAGAAGCGCTCATGATGTCCATGAAGTCGCCCATGATGTGCACTTGCTCTGAAATCTTAATCATTTGCATATTCCACCGCGGTATACTCATGATGCAAGTTTCATGTTGTTTGGATGCTTCCTTTATGTTGTTGCATTTTGATGGCCAGCAGTTTATATCTGTGTGTATGTTCCAACTGCAGCTTGATTCTAAGCATTAAACCTTTCTTGTACTTTAGATTCAAATAGAACATCTCGATAAATATAAGAAGTTATTTATGGAAATTTTGTTTGTTGTTATTGTTATAAAAACGCACTTCTCGGAAATTACAATTTAATTTTACGTAATTGCATTGCATTTTACATAATTTCTCATCTAACAAATATATTATTTGAAATTCCAGCTCATTATGTCACAGGCTATAAAACGTTCATATCAATTTTCAAAGTTTTCGTAAATTTTACATTGGAGAATCTGTCTACAAATTATAGCATTTACGTAATACTAATTTCGTTCAATATTCTTTAAATAACTTTTGTTAATTCAAGTATTTTAAGACCCTTTGAATTTCGAAGAATAAACGCATAAATAAATAAAAACTGCTTCAATATATTGTATGAGTTTGTAATGGATTAAACCGACTTTTAGATTAGACATAAATTTTTTTTTAACAAAGTCGAGCATCAAAATTTACATTTTCTTGCAAGTTCATGCTAAATAGAAAATACTAAAATATTTCTAGATGGACCCAAGTGAATTTGTTACATTATCAACTTCAACTATAGTAGCTCTTAAAAATGTAAATTGATAAATTAATAAATGCTTTTATGAAAATCTTTGTCAACAACAACAACAACAAAAAAATGACTATATGAATATCTGAGTTTTAAAGATATTACACTTATCAAAATGATGGCAAAAATAAATATCTTATGATGCACTTAAAAAGAAGTAAAGATAAAATATAATTATTACGGTGTAGAAACACTCCAAGAAAAAAATCTGCCAAATCCTGGTGGTGAAGAATCATCATCCTACAGCTTTTAGTTCGGGCGCCACTGTAGTATCATTAGCTAAATTTGAAGCAGGAGATGTGAAAAATGAGCAATGCCCCTGCTGGGACCCGAAGCTGGACCTCTCGAATACGGGACGAGTGTGCCATCGTTACAACACCATACCTTATAATGGTGATTAGATTAACTTTTTTAAACGAAACATTTTCGTGCGCTGACCACTTAATGTCTTAATTACTGAAAATCTACAGTTCCTATCCGGCAAGAATACAAATCCTAGAATCTGTTACTAATCAAGCATCCGTCTAAGTTTTGTTTTTTAATCATTTCGGAACTGATGTAAAGGTGTAAAAGCTGCAAACTTGCATCGCATGGGAATTATATTCCTCTTTTATATCCCTCTGAGCCTATTTTGGGTTTTTTACCAGAGAAAAAGGTTATGGGGGATCGTAAAAAGATAAAAAAATTATGTCGGGAGTTTTACTTTGAAACAGCAATAAATATCTAAATATGTGAATACTGGTTCCTGTAATAGTGTTTTGAGTGAAGGATATATAAAGTAACAGTAATTCAGTTACTTCAACTTTCAAAGTGTTTTCCAATTAGTTTTGGTCTAACGCCATTGCATTAAACATTAATCTTTCATTTATCTTACATGCAAATTACTGGAGTGCTATCTATTGACTTAAAACTTTTAATTTATTTTTCAAATTATAATTGAACTGGTTAACAAACTGAGTGATTTAAGTATAACAAACTCACTTCTCAATAATTTCATTATGTATTTTATTTTTAATAATAATTATAATTATATAGTATATATACTATATATGCGATACAAATTAAGTTACGTTAGTTTATAATATATCCAAATGGTTATTCTTGTGAAAATTTGCAATATAAATACAATTAGCGAAACGCGTTTATAACGTAGTACCTCTGTAAAGAATTGTTTGATTTTTTATATCAAATTTAAGAATCTAAATTTATCATTACGTTGCAACGCATGGTAGTGTAACTCATACAAAATTATATTTGATTTTTTTATTATCTTTTTATTAACATGAACTTCAGTTTCAGCTTATTTTATTTCCATTTCTAATTTCAATTACTTGTCAAAAGTATCAAAATGTGAAGAATGTAAATGGTGGCATGTTCCCTGAATATCACAAAATTTGTTTTCTCTATGTTGAAAATCATACTTATTAGTCCAAAGGGACTTTGTCCTTGAGAGACTATAGTTTTCGTTTTGCGATTTTGCTTCGAATCACTCTGAATGTCCGTTTCACTTTTCAAATTGTTGCCACCAAATATTATTGCCCTGTATTATATTTGAAAAAATTAAATAATGAAGAATCTGCATAAATGTATGTATGTTTCTAGCATTCTGATAAAACAACGGTACCTATAGCCACCAAATTTTGAATGACACAATCCTACTGCGAATATGGGCATGTGGAAGCCCAAACTTGAAATTTGGAATTTGTTTTATGATCGATTTTTTATATTTTGTAAACCTTTAACGAATTTTTGATTAACAAACTCAAGGATTTCAAAGCGAGCAAAGGCAACGTTGTACAGAAAGACATTTTTATCTCCAGCGCGTGAGGCTCTGTATCAGAAATTCTAAAGATATGCTCAGTTTAAAATTATTTTGCGATATTGCTCTTGAACTGAATTTTATGATTTAAGTGCGAAGAACATGACTATAATAAATAAAGGTAACACACAAAATGTTAAAAAAACGCCCCTTTGGACGTAATTTAAAATCTGAAACCTTTCAGATTTTCTTTATTATTTTCTTTCCTTCTTTTTTTTTTTTTTTTTAAATATTTTTTAAACTTTAAAAAAGAGCATTCTTCTATCAAAATGTTTACAGATATTTCTTAGGATGTTAAAAATCACATTAGAATGACAATATACCAAATATCTGTGCTTTGCTTTCATTTATTGTTGATATATCTTAGTGAAATAGGATTTTCAACGTAATGTATAATGAAAATGAGAATAAATGAAATAAACCGACGATGTAAATTAGAGGAAAACGATATGCATGCTGTTTTAATATTTCTTTATATATACTTTCAGTTTATGACTTGTATGCATTGGAAATTGGAAGCGAAATGTAAAAATTAGAATCTTATTTTTTTTATTAGTCTGATATGCGTTTAAATCATAATAAACCCGTTTAATAAAAAAGAAGAAATTTATTAATATAAAGCTTAGATTGAGAATAAACTAAATATACAACAAGGAAAAAATTTATATATGCAATTTGATGTCGTAAGGAAACATTAAAAAAATAATAATAAATAAAACAGCAGTGTAACTCACAATAAACTTAACAATACATTAATAAAATACATAAATAAAGTTTATCATCACAATAAAAAAGCTTGATCAAGATCAATGGTAGAAAAGGAAAGTAATGATGTAAAAGTGTCTAATTTATATTTAATTCCGACTTTAAATGTTTTTGACGAAGCAGGCTCTTATACGCTGCTTTCACACTATTCCCCAAATGGCGAAGCAAAACATCCCTTCTAACATGTTTTTGAATTTTGAACTGAGGAGTAAGTTTGTACAGTGAATAGTCCAAAGGTTTAACTTAAAGACAAGGCAAATCTACCATTTCATCAACTGAGTAATCTTGGGATTCCCTATTGTCCTATATTCAAAGCGACTATGTTATATTCTGTTACTTTAAAATAGACACTTCAGAGTTATTTTCTTCGGCCCAGAGTTATTTTCTTCTCATAATTATGGTAACGACCACTGCGACAGAAGTTGGATTTCCCTAATTGTTTCTTTCTCACATTATTTCCGTTTACTGCGTTTCACTTCACGAAAAGTTTCTTATTTTATTACAGTTTCAAATAATGTGGAGAAAATAAGTGCTGTGCAGAAATAACGTATTACGATCGGTAATGAGGATGGTCAGAAAGGCATTGAAACGTTTATCTTAAAGTCGTAGATTATAGTCATAACAGCCATACGACTTAAGCCAGCGTCACATCTACTTCCTATCCCGGAAATTTTGGCTTTCTAAATATCTGGTTGACTTATACGAAATTCTGTGCTTTGTAGGAAACCTACAAGAAACACAGCTTTAAACGAAACATTTGCATCTCTGATGCAAAGTCCCGCCTAGCTAGCCGGATATCAGTTCCAGTCAAACATGTTCCGTCTAGGAATCTTCCAATGGTAGAAGAATGAGAATCTTGTTTCTCGGAAAAGTTTCTCCTGATCTCAGGCTTCGTTAGATGTGATAACCATATTACATCTAACGACGCCTGAGATTCCTTTTGCCACAATTTGTAGAAAAATAATTTGGCTACTTACAACAATAAAAATAAACTGAAATACATTATACGCCGTCAGAAAGGAACGTAACATCAGATATCTAGCATTCGCGAAAGAACGTTTTCAAATACCCGTGAAGGAAATTGAACGTATTCAATTCTGCTCCCCCCTTTTTTTTTGCTTGTGTATGAAAGCTCTTTGCGACCCTTATTTAGAAATTTTGAGACCATTAAAATGTTTAAACTAAGTGTAAATGCAGCATTAAAAGAGGCTTCTGACTTAAAATTGAATGTATTTAATTATTAATCAGTCAGTAAATTTCTGACATTTGTAATTAAATACACTCGATTTTAATCAATAACTTAATGGATAGTAAAATTATTTCATGTACTACTATGTCTCATTGATATTTTTTCATATCGCTATCTTTTTTGCGAAACAGCAGTTTTGTACTTTTTGAAGGAAAAAATTCTACGAAAACTACATTTATTAATACTCTTTCGAAATTAGTTTATTAAAGATTTTTATTAATTACTTACGATATACATTTTATTATGATTCATAGAAAAACTATTTCTTTCTAATTGTTAATTTTAAGATAAATTTTCCTGCGTGCACGCATTAATTTTAAGATTTCCCAATGAATAACATCAAAATGATTGCTTGGTTAATGAAAGTGATAGGAATGGAATGAACAATCTGAACAATCCAATAGAAAAAATGAACTTGAACAGTGAAGATGGTTAAATTGCGTATTTGTGAAGGAAGAAGTGTATGTTTAAAAAAATAATACATCGCTGTATTTAAGGCAAGAAGATAAAGTTAAATAATGCTAAAGCCTTCAGTTTTTCAGATATCTTCAAAATATTACATCTTTTCTAATTATCTTTTCTTGTGGTCAGTACATGAACTTGGTGCGTTAATCAATTATCTCGTGGTTAGTAGTAAATCAATTGAAATTCATAGAATTTCCAATATAAGGCTGTTCGTTTAATGCAGACCATTACCGATGGATGCTGTACAAGTCGATGATCTTCTGCTAACCTCGGTTTCACTACTTGCAGGAGCTAAGGAAGGAGTTGAACTACTGGCTAGAGGAGATCTCATCAACAAAGCTTTAATTATCCAGGTATCGTTCTTAAATCCTTTGCAAAATTCTTCTCGGCTCAGTTTCCCATCTTTGTCCTAAAAAACAAAAATGAAATACAGTTGTGTGAAAAGCATGAAAAGCAACGTCGTTACATATGATGTTAAAGGATCTGAAACTTAAAAGATCTGACAGAATGTCCAATTTCAATAGAGGGTGGTTCTTTATGATACAAATCCTTTATGACTTTACAGTATCTTCTTCTCATTTGTAACTTGTACAAGACAATGTTTTTAATCAAAATATCTATGCTTATACACTGGCCTTCTATGGCCTTGTATGTATATTTATATTTCTATTTTTACACGGAGGAAATATTCCCTTCTGCCAGGATGACTATTAATGCTGTAAGACTTTTACAACAAAGTCAGGTCAGTGGTTATCTCAGGCGGCGCTCAGTATCCTCTTCTTTCTTTTCGAAACTGACAGAACGGCTGGCTCACTGGGTTACGTGCTCTTCAGACTGTTGGATCTTGTTGATGGAATTAAAAAAAGCGAAAAAAAGAAACAAAACAAAAAAAACAAAACAAAACAACAACTAGATCTTAGTACTGTGTCCTCCGGGAGTTGACTTTACGTAGGTGAGGAATACTGAAAGAAGAACCAAGAACATGGAAAGAAAGTGCATGGTGGGAACCACTTATCTTGAGCACTGCGAAGTTGCTGTTGCTTGCAAAAGAGGTACAGTCATTGTTGAGTACAAACGTGCTTTTATCCAAAAATATTCCCCATAATTATCGAAGCCCTTATTGTGCAGGCATAAAACAATCTTCCGAGTGCAAGAGAAGTTCTGGACGTGTCGGCGAATCAAGACGTGTCGGCATAAGTCATTCCAGAAAGAAGTGCAGGTGCTTAGTCATTCCTTCATGTTTTATGAAAAGTGAATCAAAGGGCCCCATTTTGCGTGGGAATGTATTTATATATCGATTTATCTGTCTATCTACTATACACACTTAAAGACGCTGAGCAATTAGAATCCACCAAAGGTAAGCTCCAAAAAGTGAATAAGAGTCAGATAGGGCACAATAAATTATTCCAAACGATTAAAATGAAGAACCTTGACTAAAATCATTTACATTATAATAAGAAATTTATTTTATAATCGTTTAATAATTTATTACTTTCATAATAAATTGTACATAAAAATAATATAAATATTTTAACAATTGACAAAATTTTAAGACAAAAACGATGTTTGTTTAACAGCTCCCTTCTCCTAGGAAAAATTGTCTATTCTTTAGCTGGGCCATTTCATTGCTACGGTTGAGTGATTGTCATTAATTAATTACTTCGTAAAAGATGAGAGAGAATGCGTTTGACGTAACCACTGATTGTCCTAAAATTAGTATTGTACTGTGAACGCTTATTTATATTTTAGAAGTTATATTGTATGATATTCCACAATTATGGCAAAAGTTCTAACTTAAATCATTTGGATTGCAAGTGCTACTTTTTTATAGTTAATTAAGGCTGCTTTGTTATTTTTTAGAACTATCATTGCGTTCCCTTCTTTTATTTTTGTACAAAAGTGTTTGAAAAATTTGCTTCAATAATTACAGTATTTATATCTATAAATAACACTGAAATTGTTACATTGACGCCACTGTTCAAATGGGTTTGGTTTGGTTTATTTAATTATGGCAAAGCACACTAGGGCTATCTGCCTAAGAGGAGGGATGCCTTCGTGGAGGACTTTCTAAGGGAAACTGGCTCGTATACACGTTACACATGGGGAAAACCACGAAAACGCCCATGCAGCCAGCCCGTTCGCGGGATTCGAACCTCGGACCGAACTACCGGTGTTCAGCGACTTTACCGCTCGGCCGCTGGTGGGCCCTGTTCAAATGGGAGATATTTAATTAACAGGTTTGTTGTCATTTAGAAATTCTATCAAGTATTGCAATTTAAATGATATATTAAAATACTGGATTGAATTATTTTATTCTGGTAAAATTTACTAAGTCTTTCTGCCACGGTTTAATTTCTAAAATCAGAATTACCAGAGCCCGATAAAAGGCCACCAGGAAAATTGAACAAAAATAATCAAATAAAAATTTAAATAATTAATCATTAAAATTAAGCACTATGAAAAGAGCTAATAAAACTAATGGATCAAATTAAATTAGCAACAAATAGTTAAATAATAAATTAAAATACTAATCTAATTTTATTTAGAGAAGACTAGGCAAGTCAGTATTTCGAGGCGTAAACCATTACAGTATTGATCAACAAAGTTATTTTAAAGAGAACACGTGGTTTAACAAAGATTTCAAAATTTCTGGTGTCCCCGTTTTATTTATTTATTTCCTTTCTCTCGTTACGGAAGAAATTATATGACGATGGATGAATTTTATATATATAATAGCTTTGTAGAGGAATTAGGTATTTTTGATGCTAGAGGAGTGAAAAATGTGCAATGCCCTCACCGGGACTCGAACCTGGAGCTCTCGAATACGCGCCGAGTATACTAACCATTACACCACGAAGGTACGCCGGAGTTAGGGAGGAAATGCCCCTTTTAACGGGTGACTGGGGATTAGGGGTCCCAAACGTCAAATCCTCGTGGTGAAGAATCATCACCCACCACCTTTTTAGTTCGCGCGCCACTGTAGAAGCGTTAGGCATTAGGTACTATGCTTGAGAAGTGAAAAATGTGCAGTGCCCTCAGCGAACTCGAGCCTGGACCTCTTGAATACGTGCAGAGTGTGCTAAATTAAAAATTAGGCATATAGAGAAGGAAAAATGTAAATTTTTTACTTACGTCAAATAGAAAATTTATCATGAGAAAACACTATATAAGATTTATTAATCCCTGAGCTTATAAATGAAATAGATGATGGGTATAAATCGTGAACTGTAAATAATTATATTTACTAACACTTGACAATTAGTGGTAGTTCGGTTCCTATTAGAGCGAAAGACAGATAGTCCTACCAACGGAAAATTTCTGTGCTCAAACTTATATAGCAAAACAAGTGGATGCTATTACAAACGCTTTTACTAGCCTAACACATAAAAATATGATGAAGAATATATAATTCCTAAGCGTGTTCACGGTGCTAAGTCTGACCATAAAATCTCATTAACCACTACTGAAACTGTAAGAAATGATACCGGCAACTGGCAAAATGCTTCAGCGGGAGACTATTGATAAGATTTGTGTAAGCAGAAGTTAACGTTTGTACGTTAACTTCTGCCTACACGGAACTTGTTTGCTTCATCACGCAAAAGGTAAAAGAAAGCTATTCGTTATGTTATGTTGAAACATACCCGACTTTACAAACCATTCCTCTTTGGCTATTGTGATGACATTATTTCGCTGCAACACAGTCTGTGTTTCTCATGAGCTCTGTGTAATAATATATTGTTGTCTAACATTCGGCAGCACTATTAGAACGCAAAAGATAAGGATCGAAGTGCTCATGAAATCGTTCCTCAAATTAAGCTGTTCAATAGAAAATTCTAGCTCACCCAACTTTGGCCCAATGGAACCCATCTGACAGAGCCCATTTTTTACATATCTAAATCATTTCGAGTGCAAGAAGAGGATTAGCTTCAGTGGAAAAGAGTAGAGGTTCAACTTATTATAGTCATGAATATGAACACATCTAGTAATTCCATTTTAGAAAAACAACAAAGACCAGTTGGGAATAATGACCACCACTACAATAGAACAATACTGAATGCTGTTTGAAACTGGCTGTAAAACCTCTTGACAGACCGTTGAAAAATATTAATAACAAGACAATCTGATTTCTCATTTTTCTGTAATATCTCCAAATAGACGTCTAATTCAATTAACGTCTTATAACATCTAATTCAATTAAATTTGTTCCGTCCTGAAAAAATGCATAACTTTTGTAATCTGCTTGCTATCTCTGTGTGAAATAATATAGTTCTGATTTGAAAAAAACATAAACAGTTTTGCAATTTCCGTGCATTCGATTAAACATTAACTGTCTTATATAACGAATAAATTGTAACCTTGTAAGGAATTTTCTTTCTCGTTACTGGGTGCCTTCGTGATTGAAATGGAAGCACATCCGGCTAGCATTGGTATTCCGGCAGCTGAATCTCGGAAAAGGCATAGCTGATTTTCTTCTCTTTTTTACTTGTAAAAATACCAAAAGATACTAGAAATGTTCCCCGAACTAAAGTGCGGTGGACCATAATTTGTAACCCAGTTCCACTTCATGAGAATTTGAACCCAATGGAAGTTGGGCAACACAGAACGACATGCGGGAGTTTAATGGCTTCCATTCGTCAGTGCTTAAGAAGACAGATCTATTTATATCTTTATTAGACATTACAGCCACATCTCCTACCTTCATTCAGAAAATTGGTATGTTGCACACATCAGTATCCGCATGTATGAACCATACACAGTTGATCTGTAACACTCTGGATTTGTGAGCAAAACGATATTGCTTTGTGTTCCTTCAAGCATATAGCACAAGAAACTGAGCCTACGGTGTTGTGTTTGGCATATATGGGCTCATCCGTGGCGTCGTCTTTTCTGATGAACTCCAGTTTGTTTCCTGCATCATGATGGCTCTATTCTTGTGCGAAGACATTGAATGGAAAAGAATATTGCAAGCTCACATTCTTCATCGTCATGCTGGCCGAGAGCCAAAATTGATATATGGGTACACAACGTGTTTACCTATTTTTTATCATATCCAGTACTTTGATTAACCACCATTATAGTATTGATATTTTGATGCTCGTATCTGTGCTATATTTTGGGGGCTTTCTGTCGTCCGCATTTTCAACAGGACGCTGCAAAACCGCATGTTGTTTAGGATCCTTTTCGACTCCTGCTTTGGCCTGCGTATTTTGCCTATCTCTCAGCAACTTAAAAACCTAGGTCATAGCTACAGAGATTCTTGCACGATGACACTTTGCAACCAGTACTACACACGAACTCTGGCATAGAACTGAAGCCGCATGGACTGCAGCAGCTATAACTGCCGCCCAATGTCTGTTTCACTCCGTAACCAGTAATATTTCCCTATGCTGTACTTCAAGATTATCCCAA